AGGATAGAGTTAACTAATTGTCTAACTAAATGGAACAATACATAAATAATTAACTAACCTAACCTAACCTAACCTAACCTAACCTAACTAATTCAATAACCAGGGAGGATAGACGCCAACATTAACATACAGTACACCTTGGACGCCAATATCGCCAATATTAACATACACTGTGAACGCCAATATTACACACACACACACACACACACACACACACACACACACACACACACACACCAATGATTTTATGCTGCCTGTGGGGTAGGTGGATGAGATAGATAGATATGAGATAGATAGATAGATAGATAGATAGATGAGATATGAATAACCAGCAGTATAACCTAAGCTAGAGAGAGAGAGAGAGAGAGAGAGAGAGAGAGAACACAATAGGCAGTAATTTCTCAACAAACTTTATCTCCCTCCTTCCCTCCATACAACTGAGAGATATATTTATAACTCTACCTAATAATAAACTCTTTCTACCTCAAGTTTTCTTAATTATTATATTGTGTGAGGGAAGTTAAGGTGGGTGTGGAGGCATCTTGGAGCTAGTGGTCAGGTGGCTTGTGTGGTAATTGGTATTTCTTTCTTTTAATGATTATGAGGGGAGAATTGTTCTTTTTATTGTTCTTCTTTTTGTTCTTTTTTTCTTCTTGTATTTTTGTTATTGTTGTTGTTCGTTTTCATCTTCTTCTTCTTCTTGTACTTGTTGTTGTTGTTGTTGTTGTTGTTGTTGTTGTTGTTATCATTGTTATTGTTATTGCTATGTTATTATTATTATTATCGTTCTCATAAGTGTCACCAACAGGATACGTGTTAGCATTACCTATTACAAATTCTTATCAACGTCTATCCTAATGTGGTTGGACATGCATATAATAAGTTGGGGCGGGACTACTGGCAGTTCTCTGGTGCCTCTCCCTCTTCCCTCTCTATCGCAGACGTATGAACATCCCCTTAAATGCCACACACTATTACTATCATCTATTTTTCAGACTCTCCTTGGGAACCTTCATCTGTGTGTGGGTGGTGGCAGAGGTCCTTGGTGGTGTTGGCTCCCGTCATCGGACAGACAGACAGACACTCTGGACAGATGAATACAGAAGGTTAGTGCATTTTAGTGAAGATTGTTATTGCCGTCAGTATTGTTATCGTTATTAACTTTAATATCAGTAATACTTTCGTTTATTACTTTTGTTCAGCTAAGAGTCTCATAACGTCATCTTAACACTCCCAAGTAACGACGGAACTGATCTTATACTTCCTACAAGATGGAGCTATAGATGCCATCTGACATTCCGACTACCTTACCCTTGACTCTACTGTGATGGGAGAAAATTGGCAATTTCGTTAAATAGGAAACACCAGTCACTCGACACATAAGCTCCAGGTCCATTTCAAGTCGGCCTTGTAGACAATATTAAGGGGATGAAGGCCAGTATCGGTCTCTTCTTCCCTCAAGGATGCTCTACCCTCCGAGTAATAGGATTGAAACTCCTTCACGGGGTGTCGAGCACTTCTCAGAGAGCCCGACTAATCACCTCCTCGGTGTTGGATTCCCTGTGTTGCGATGCTTACTTGTCTATTCTGGGGGAGCGAGTAACGAGCTTTGCGTCGTTGATAGTTTTATTCTTTAGTACCAATCAGGTGTACACGTGAAGGCAAGAGCTACGTGACTTACCCTGGAGACAAAGATAATTAATAAATGATGGGAAGGTTAAGCAGATGTGTCTTTTAATGTGTTTATAGATGTGGTGGAGGCGTAAGTGTAAACAGGATGACTGGCGAGCGCTCACATCTACCCACATGATTATATGTACGTACGTTTCTTACTGGACACACACACACACACACACACACACACACACACACACACACACACACACACGTTATGTAGTAATTTACATATCTCTAAATTTATATTTATCTTCTTTTCTATTATTATCTAGTCTCTTTCCCTCCTCTCTCTCTCTCTCTTATTGTCCTTATATATATCTCTCTCTCTTATTGTCCTTATATATCTCTCTCTCTCTCTCTCTCTCTCTCTCTCTCTCTCTCTCTCATTACCCCGATTCTCTCTTTCACTTACTCGATCTTAAAATTTCAAAATTTACATTACGTTTGTCAATAAGACCACGAGTGTGTGTGTGTGTGTGTGTGTGTGTGTGTGTGTGTGTGTGTGTGTGTGTGTGTGTGTGTGCCCTCCTAATTCCTCCTAGCCTCAGCCTTCTCCTAGCTCCTACCATACTCCTCCTGGCCCTTTCAATCCACTTCCCTCCCCTCCCTCAGCTCCTAGCTCTCACTCTTCAGCTCCTTGTCCCTAGCTCCTAGCGCTCAGGCCTCCAATTGCCCCTTAGCCGCTTAACAGCCGCCTCCTGACCACTAGTCCCTTTTTAACCTCATTCTTGCTACTTATCCCTATTAGTCCTCTCCTAGCCATTAGCCTCCTCCTACTCCGCTCTCCTAGCCACTAGCCTCCACCTACCCCCTTTCCTATCCACTATCCCTCTCGTAGCACCAATCCTAGCCAATAACCGCTTCCTAGCCCCTCCTAGCCCCCTCCTAGCCATCCCTGTGGTGTGACACTTGCTTTCTGCTGACAAGGGCAGAACCAGCGTGATTGACACTGCTCTCTCTCTCTCTCTCTCTCTCTCTCTCTCTCTCTCTCTCTCTCTTTTCTCATTCTTTCTCTTCTCAACTTCTCTCTTATCTTCTCTTTCTCCTCTCTTACTTTCCTTTTCTCCTCTCTTTTCTCCTCTCTTAGTCATCTCTCTCTTCCTCCTCCTGCATTCACTTTCCCTCTTCCTAATTCTCTCTTTTATATTCCTCCCTCTCACCTCTCCTCTTCCTGCCTCTCACCTCCCCTCTTCCTGCCTCTCACCTTCCCTCTTCCTGTCTCTCACCTCCCCTCTTCCTGCTTCTTACCTCCCCTCTTCTTATATTTTCCCTCCCTTCTTCTTCTCCTTCCACCTTCCCGTCTTTTTCTCCCTGCCATCTCCCCCTCTCATCCCTTCCCCCTTTTCTTCCCTGTTTCTTTTTTTTCTCTCCCCATTTTCTCACCGCACTTTTCTCCTTCTTCTCTCTCTTTCCCCCTCTCTTCCTTTCCCCTCTCTGTCCCCCTCCCATCAGACGTCACAGCAAGATGGAGAGGGGAAAGGGTGACATAGGAATCGCTCTGTCTGTTATGGGGAGATGGAACTTGGATGAGGGAGGGAGTAGTAGTAGGAGTGAGGGAGGTAGAAGGAGTAAGGGAGGAAGGGAGAGGGAGGGAGACTGGAGGAGAGGGAGAGAGAGAGGGAAGGAAGTCAGGGATTAAAATAATAAGGGAAAAATGATGATCAAGAGGAGGAGAAAGAAGAAGAGGGGTGGAATGTGGAGGAAGAGGAAAAGTGATGGAGAGGAGGAGATGGGAGGAGGGGTATACTCTCCCATCCCTCTCTCGCCCCTCGCTTACTTCTTCTCTCATCCACTCTACTCTACCTCCCATTGTTCATCTATCTCTTCCTTCCTACTCCGTCTCGCTTTCCTAACTTACTCATTCCTTACCTTCCCTTTCACTCTTCCCCCTTTCCGCTTTTACTTGTCACCACCTCCCCTTTCTTCTCCACTTACCCTTTTCTCTTCTCTCCCTCTCCCTATTTATCTTCGCCCACGCCATTCTCGCCTTTCTTTCCCTCTCTCCTTTTAATTCATCCTCATCCCCCTTTCCCTCTCTCATATTACCCATCACCCTACCACTCACCCTCTCCCCCCTCTCCTCCCATTTCAATCTGTCTCCACTGCCTCACTTCCCCATTTCCCATCTCCCCTCCCCCTCCCTCTATCTATTCAACACCCTCCCCTCCTCTTTCCCTCCTCTCTCCCTCATCCCCTCCCTCTCCCTCCCCACCCTCCCCCTTCCTCCCCACATCTCCCCTCCCTCCCCCCAGCAATACCTGTCAGAGGAGACGCAGCACCCGGGCCGTCCCGTCACTGAGGCATCTGGGTTATTGATGTCGGATCATAGGCAATAAACCCACACTAACCGAACACACGTAAAAATGACTGTCTATGTAGGAGGTTTTAAAGGGTAGAAGGGGGAGTCTCAGTGGGAGGAAGGTAAGGAGGAAGGAAGGTGTTAATGGGAGGGCGTTGGAAACAAGTATGAATTGTAGGAGGAGAAAGAGAGATTAAGAAGAGATAGGGGTGATATGAGGAAGTGGGAAGAAGAAAGGAGAGGGAAGTGATGGAGTGAGGGAAGAGAAGGAAGAGGAGTAAGGAAAAGCGAGTTATGGGGAGGTTAGGGAAGGGATATAGGCATAGTTAAGAGGGAAAGGAGAGGGGAGGTATGGGGAGGGGGAGGGGATGAAATGGGCAGGGTTAAGAGGAGTTGAGGTGAGGTAAGGGGATGGGGGAAGGGGGTAGGAGTTAGCAAGGGTGGATCCTTAAAGGGGAAGACAGGTGCTTGTGTGACTGGCATTATGACTGAATGGCGAGAGAGAGAGGGAGAGAGAGAGAGATTCATACAGAGGGAAAGAAAGACAGATAAAAAGTCATCGAGAGAAAGAGAGAGATAGTGAAGTAGGGAGGAAGGAAAGCGGAGAGAAAAAGAGTAAGAGAGACAGAGAAGACGAAGAAAGGAGAGAGTAAGAGAGAGAAAGAGAGATCCTTCCTCAAGACAACATAAACACAAAGAGTCATGGGACAACCCGCATACTGGCCAAAGATTAACTACCCAATCAATTAATTCTTCCCTCAGAGAATTAGAACCCTTGATCCTAACTCTCCACAAGGAATTAGAACCCTTGATCCTAACTCTCCACAAGGAATTAGAACCCTTGATCCTAACTCTCCACAAGGAATTAGAACCCTTGATCCTAACTCTCCACAAGGAATTAGAACCCTTGATCCTAACTCTCCACAAGGAATTAGAACCCTTGATCCTAACTCTCCACAAGGAATTAGAACCATGATCCTAACTCTCACGGGAATTAGAACCTTGATCCTAACTCTCCCACAAGGAATTTAGAACCCTTGATCCTAACTCTCCACAAGGAATTAGAACCCTTGATCCTAACTCTCCACAAGGAATTAGAACCCTTGATCCTAACTCTCCACAAGGAATTAGAACCCTTGATCCTAACTCTCCACAAGGAATTAGAACCCTTGATCCTAACTCTCCACAAGGAATTAGAACCCTTGATCCTAACTCTCCACAAGGAATTAGAACCCTTGATCCTAACTCTCCACAAGGAATTAGAACCCTTGATCCTAACTCTTCACAAGGAATTAGAACCCTTGATCCTAACTCTCCACAAGGAATTAGAACCCTTGATCCTAACTCTCCACAAGGAATTAGAACCCTTGATCCTAACTCTCCACAAGGAATTAGAACCCTTGATCCTAACTCTCCACAAGGAATTAGAACCCTTGATCCTAACTCTCCACAAGGAATTAGAACCCTCGTCACCTAGTTCTGATAAAGGAATTAGGACGTCGGTTAATAAATTCTTACATCATTTATGGATAACGACCTTAACTACCCTGGAATCACCTTGTTACAGGTCTATCATGTAGATGTATCGGCCTACTGTTACCTGTTCAATCTAGTATTAGGTTAGATTAGATTAGGTTTGGTTAGGTTAGGTTAGGTTTGGTTAGGTTAGGTTAGGTTTGGTTAGGTTAGGGGAAGTTTGGTTAGATGAGGTTAGGTTAGGTTAGGTTAGGTGAGATTTAGGTTAGGTTTGGTTAGGTTAGGTTTGGTTAGGTTAGGTTTGGTTAGGTTAGGTTAGTTTAGGTAAGGTGAGATTTAGGTTAGGTTTGGTTAGGTGAGGGTTAGATTAAGTTATATTCGATAACTTTAGGTTTTTATATTTGGTTAGGTTAATTTTTTTATTAGATTAGCTTAGTTTATATTGCATTAAGTTTGGTAAGATTAGGTTTAAACTATCTTGGATAATCATATTTCAACACCAACATTTCCACTTATCCTTCAATTAAACTTTGGATTGACCTTCATAAGCTCTTAAACATTCTGGCAATAACATAAGACTATTTCCTTGTTCATATTAATCCCGTAAACATATTGATAAAAGGTCTTTGATAATATTTTCTGATGGTCTTAAGATAAGGCGGTCAAGGTTTGGTCTTCAGAGAGATAAAATTATCTTCTGTTGATCGACGCTATTGAGGCTGATTCAAGAGAGAGAGAGAGAGAGAGAGAGAGAGAGAGAGAGAGAGAGAGAGAGAGAGCAAAGGATAAGGAAAGATAAAAACGAATGAGGAGAAAGTAGAAAAGAGAGAAAGAAAGGGAAAGACAAAATATTGAATATCTCAGCGTTATTGGCAAAAGGCGCGCGAGAAGCCATATGGTAGCACCTCCTAGCAAAATGTAAACAAATGCTGGATAATCCGACCTGGGAGATATGGCGGGAAGGGGGATATGGCGGGAAGGGGGATATGGCGGGAAGAAGGGGATATGGCGGGAGGATATGGCGGGAAGGGGGACATGGCGGGAAGAAGGGGATATGGCGGGGGGAGGGATGGCGGGAAGGGGGATATGGTAGGAAGAAGGGATATGGCGGGGAAGGGGGATATGGCGGAAAGGGGGATATGGCGGGAAAGGGGGAGAGGAAGATATCGATGTGTTCACCGTCGCTCAACACCTCGTCTATTCACTTACGGGTCTTCAGCTCATCTCTTGTTTACACGGCTGCCCAACCCCTGCTCTCCCTTCCCCCTCCCCCACCATCCCTCCTCCCTCCCCCCAACTCTCCCTCCCCTCTCCCCTATAGCTCACCGTGACGCTATCTACATAATATACTACAGTGTTTTATCGTGTTTGTGCTTTGTTTTTTTAGTAGCAGCGTTAAGTAAGTCGGATACCTGAAGAACTTTGGGTCGAATACGTCTTCATTTTTCACCATACCAGATTTTCTGTTTTGTGTGTGTGTGTGTGTGTTGTGTGTGTGTGTGTGTGTGTGTGTGTGTGTGTATGTATGTGTGTGTGTGTGTGTGTGTATGTGACCCTACATACGTAATAAGTATGTTGTATATGAAGATGGTAAAGAGAGGTGAGGAGATAGAGAAGCTTAGGCTGTTTAATTAAAGAAAGAGAAAAAGAAACGCTAGACTGAGCGATAAAGATGGAGACAGAAAAGGAAAGCGATAGAAAGAGGAGAAAAAGTCCACGACGGGAAAACAAACAAACAAACAAACAAACACACTGAAGATATCACAGAAACAGCTGGAGTCAAAAGAGAGTTAAAGACAGCATAAAACGAGAGAAAGAGAGTGAGAGAGAGAGAGAGAGAACAGGAAAAAACCAGCGCTAGAGAGAGGTAGAAAGCGCTCAACAGAGGCAGGATATGATTCATTCTGAGTCCGTATGAATGTCGGGCAACAAAAAAGGCGTAAAAGTTTTCCACTTATTTACAGAGCGGGATGGAGGTCAAGAAAGTAAAATATTACCCACACTCCCGTCTCTTTATTGTTTATTTCTTGTTACTGTATGTCGTTATTAGCGTCATTATTACACCTACTTATTGTCATTGTCATTTGTATTGTTAAGTATCAATTGTATTTTAATGTTTGTAGTTCGTTTCCTGGTTTAGTTTTTATCATATAGTTTTTCTTATTATTTTTCGACGTCGTTTTTGTGTTGCTATCTCCCTTCTTCGTCTTCCTCCTCCTTCTTTGTTTTATCCCTTTCTTCTTGTCTTGGTTTCTCTTCCCTTTTTCTTCCCCTTTTAATCTCTTTTTGTGTCCTGATTTTTGTTTTATTCTTATTAAATCTTTTTTCTTTCTGTGGATTTTTTCTCTTTTTCTTTTTTCGTGCTGTTTATTTTATTTTTACTATTTCCCTATTATCTTCGTTCTTTCGTTTTGTTCTCTTTCGTTTACGCTTCAATTTTTAATCAGTCTGTGTTATTCTCTCTCTCTCTCTCTTTCTCTCTCTCTCTCTCTCTCTCTCTCTCTCTCTCTCTCTCTCTCTCTCTCTCTCTCTCTCTCTCTCTCTCTCTCTCTCTCCCTCCCTCTCCCTTCCATCTCCCAACCCTTCTTTTCTCCACTTCTCTCTACCTATTCATTCAGACCCTCTTTTCTTTTTCTCTCCACCCTACTCTCCCTTTCTTCTCCCTCTCCCTCCAAGCCACTTAACCTCCCTCCCAGGGACCTAGAATCCATTCCTACACAAGGCCAAGGTAATTTAAAGCCCCTCCCTCCCTCCCTCACTCCCTCCTTTCCTTTCTCTTTCCCTCTCTCCTTCTCTCCCACTCTCTCTCTCCCTCTCTCCTTCTCTTTACTTGATATTTCTCCTTCTTCTCCTCCTCTACTTAATCCTTTTACCAATCTCCCTCCCTCCTTCTTCCTAATCTTCATCTCCACCTCTTCCTTCCTTCCTTCCTTCCTCATCTTGTTACTCCATCTCACCATGCCTGGCCTCCAAATTTCTTTTCTCTCTCTCCCACTTCCTTTACTTCTATCCCTCCATTCCTCTTCTCCTCCTCCTCCTACTCATCGTCCTTCTCCCTTAATACCTTTCCTCCTTCTACAAATCCCTTCCTTCCTCTCTTCTCCTCAATCTTCCCTCCATCACATCTTACCTTTCTATCCCATCCACGAGGTTTCGCTCCCCCTCCCCCCTCTCTCTCTCTCTCTCTCTCTTTTAGTTTTCCACCCTTCCTCTCCCTTCTTCCTCTTCATTCCCTCTCCTCTGTTCTCCTCTGTTCTCCTCTACTGTTCTCCTTCTCCTCCTCTCTTCTCTTACCAGGCCTCCAAAATGCCCTTCAAGGTGGTAGTGAAGTTGGCCCCCATATGGAGGGCGCAGTGCACGTAGTGAGGAGGTGTTTTTGTACAGTAAACTTGTGTCGACTGGAGTTTACCGGAGTTTATCTGACGCCTAAAAACTCCAGCCGCTGAGAGAGAGAGAGAGAGAGAGAGAGAGAGAGAGAGAGAGAGAGAGCTGCGAATGGTTACTGGTGTTGTTGTTAGTGGTGGTGGTGGTGGTGTTAGTGGTGGTGGTGTGCTGTTGGTTAGTGATGGTGGTTGGTAGTGAATTGCTGCTGTTATTGCTGTTGGTTAGTGGTGGTGGTGGTGGTGGTGGTGTTAGTGGTGTTGTTATTGCTGTTAGTTAGTGGTGGTGGTGGTGGTGGTGGTGGTGGTGGTGGTAGTGGTGGTGGTAGTGGTAGTGGTCCTTTTGCTGTTGGTGGTGATGGTGGTTGTGGTGCTGTTATTAGTGTTGATAGTGGTGGTGGTGGTGTTAGTGTCAGTGGTGCTACTGGTAGTTGTGGGTGCAGTTACGAGTGCTGCTATTGGTGCTAGTGGTGGTGCTAGTGGTGGTGGTGGTGGTGGTGGTAGTGGTGTGGTGGGTGTGGTGGTTTTTTTTTGGTTGTGTGTGTGTCGTGTGTACTGTAGTTGTTGTCGTGTGCTTGTGTGTGTGTTGGTGGTGGTGGTGGTGGTATTCCTTAGCACTGGAAAATGCCTTCATCATCACCACCACCATCACCCTCACCACCATCATCACCACTCGCGACAACAGCGTGGGGAAACTGCAGCAACGGGCGGTGGGGGGGAACTGGTGAAGTGTCAACAATATGTATTTAATTCTTCAGAAGCTCAAGGCGTAAGAGACAGACAGACACAGAAACATATCCAGAGTCGGGGGGATGAGTCGGGGGTGGAGTCGGGGGAGGAGAAGTCAGGGGAGGGGAGGGGAAGTCGTTCAGGAAACACTTTTAGTAAATGGAAAAAAATCCTCTCTAGTAAATATTTTTTGTCATAAGTTTATTCCATGTTACGAATTAGATGAAATATATTACGTAGCAGCTCAAGATTTCATTCATATTTTTATTTTTTTTCGTATTATGAATTAAGGGAACAAGTGAATTTACCTGTGTTATATTTATTTACCTGTGTTATAAATATTTACCTGTGTTATAAATATTTACCTGTTATAAATATTTACCTGTGTTATAAATATTTACTTTTACATACAGACACATGTCCACAGCTCTCCTTTTCCTCCCCCGTGTCTCTTCCTCTGATTAGTTAATTAGTTTACGTGGGTGAGTCAATATATATATGGAGAGACAAACTGACCTGACACTGACCTACCTGCCTCTCTACCTCTCATTATTGTCGTGTCTTGGTACTTGTTGTTACACCTGCTGATGAGACTTACCTGGTCATGGATTTTTCGCATTTTTAAATTCTACTATGTATTTTGTCATTCATATTTTTGTCTCTCTTGTTTGACGTCTCAGTTTTATTTGCCTTTTTTTTCTCTTTCTAACTCTTTATCTCTTATTATTTCTCTTGGTTCGTTTCTCCTTTGTTTTGTTTTCATCTTTATCCCTGTATATCTACCCTTGTTTTATTATTACGTATATTATTTTCTCTCCCTCTCTTACTTTCACTTTCCACTATATTATCACCATGAACCAGCCACCATCTTTACCTTGACGTGTCCCCTCTC